TATAATTTTAATTTAACATTTCCGAATCTGACATGGTTTGATAGTAGTTTCTATAAAGCGAATATATACAGGGTGATAAAGTTTCATGAGGAAAATTAAAATACATTAGATCTTCCGAATTTTTAATCTTAGATTAAACTTTACAAATTGGCTAGTTTTAGATAAACTTTGTATTTTAATTTCTAGAGTCAAACTTTTTGATTTTGATAATGACATAATTTCAGTTTTTTTTGAGGGAAATACAATTTTCCTTCAAACATAGTAGTTATAATCCTCCATGTGGGTCAAAATACATGGCAGGCCACACAATATCTTCAATCCAATCGCTGTATTCTGACACTCTGACATAAACAGCACTTTTGGAAATACCACAAGCAATACCGAAGGACGTAACCCCAACAATGCGAAAATGAGGAGACAGTTTATAAATTTTGTACTGTAGTGGCCCCCCTGAGTCCCCCTACAAACACAATCATAAATAAAACACCAAAAAATCCAGAAGAAAAAAAAATAATAATAATAAAAAAAATCCAGTACCGGGCAAGTGTCTCTTCCCTCGGGGTGCCCCGCACACACTTGAATATCGTTTATAATCCCATTAGGAAGTCTAGTTTGCTTGATACTCGCATGTGCTGCAGCACAAGTCGTGTGATTTACGAAGTAAATGTCAGCTTTGAGCAAATGACTGCTTGGACTTCCGGCGATGTCGACTTTGCCCCAACCCGTGACACTCATGTCCCCGGGGACTGGCCTCTCGGTGTGAAGACATGCAGGTTGGACATAGTCGCTGAATCGCGCTGAACGGTCCAATTTCACTAAAGCAATATCATGGTAGTGAATTGGGGGCTTATATTTGGGGTGCACGTGAGTTTGCATCACTGTGAAGTCTTGGGGTTGGGCGTCGTCATCGTCGGTGGCCAAGTCGAGGTCGCCCAGACGCACCCATCTGACCAGACCACTAAAATATTTTGTTTTCTATTGTTTATTTACCTGCGAGCGGCAAAGCCGCGAGCCCCCTTTAATTGCTATTTTCTACACAACTTTTTCGAATCCGACAGGATTTGACCACAGTTTCTAGTATACTTACTAGTTTTTGGTTTTGATACAATGCGCTGCTGTTAAAACATACTTTTCGCTTATTAGACTACCCCCACAAAACCACATAACATTTGGTTTTTCTCCATAGCCAAGGGCTGCCTATAAACGAACTCAAACACTTTTGTGTTATAATTATCGCTTTTAAATACCATATGGGGAAATTCCTTAGACAAAGTTTTGACGCCCCCGGCGATTTCGAGTTTTAGACAGGGTTCTTTGGGCGGGTGAAATGTTTGACATACTTGAAAATAATTTTTTTGGGTGAAAAATGGTTATAAATGGGAAGTTACCAATTTCGCTCCTTGGTCTAGGACAGCAGACCAAAGGGTAAATTCCGATGTATCCGCCGCAGTGTTGTGGCCGCTTCCAGGGGTTTTGTTTCAGTAAATCCTTAGCGTAATCACAGTTATCGACGTTCATACAAATTCCTGCTTGGCGGGTTTTTTTGACGAAACATCTCCGACCTATTTTTTTTAATAAATGGGGGAAATTATTTTGTTAATTACCTTCAATTTCCAAAGCAAATATATCGGGATTTACCACGACCATCAGTATGAATAAAATAAACAGATTGTCTTCCATCGTGTTATAAACGACTAATGCTACAAATTGTTTTCACAAAATATATCGAATTTATCGTAAAGTGGAATTACAGGTTTATTTCTTGGAGGATTATTGCATTTTAATACGAAAATGCCACTCAAATAATAATTAAATGATGACACTAATTACAGAATGAGCATTTGAATTTACAACGTGATTTAGAAATAAATACATTTTAACATTTTTAACCAGTGATAAATCTTCTTAAGTGCAACAAAATTGTGTTGTTGTGAATTTTTTGTGAGTTTTTTAGAATTATTTTGGAATTTGGATAAGCTAGTTTGAACAGCACAAGCTATAGATTTAGAATTCAAATATTATTTACCTCTTATCCTTTAATAAAATATATAAATAAATTAAGTAATTAATAAATTTAAGGGGCGAGCGGCAAAGCCGTGAGTCCCCCCTATAAATTTTGACAACATCTGATAGTATGAGTTTGGGGCAAATTTCCTCTTTTGTCTGTAGTAAAAAAACTTGGAAAGTTATTTTTCCAACAGAAATAAATAGAGTCAAAGTGCAAAATTTGAGTGAAAGAAGGGTCAAGGGGATGACAAAAAATGCATAACTTAATAATTTATAATATTTATTTTCCCTATACAGGTATACATAATATACATTTTTAATTTAATATCTCATATCATTACAAAAAATATTTCTTCAAAAAATTACATTCAAATTCATTCACATAAACTTACTTAAAATGTTCTGGGCAGCGGATTGGCGACAAAATAATGGTATTAAGTTTACGGTTTACGTTATTTTACAAAATTTTAAGCAATTTGGTTAGTTTTTAGACAGAAACTCATTTATTACAATTTGAATACAACTTAAAAAAATATTTCATTTTTAATTTCAAATTTTATTTTTTATGCTTTTAAAAGATGATGCAATATGTAAAATTTAGATAAAATATCAACCTAATTGTTCAAATTTTCTGAGCAGAAAGCCTTATTTTTTTCGCAAAAGCAAAAAAACGAATTCGGTTTTCTTTTATTATTTGTTATGTAACCAGTTATACAGTAACGCAATGAAAACCAAATCTTTTAATTAACATTACCTAACAAATTCTGATTTTTTAAATTATCGATATCGTAAATTAGATCAAAAATGATAACACTATTTTTCGCATTTTTAAGCATTTTTCACATTTTTTAAACAAAAGCTTAAATATTTTTCCAAATTTTCTAAAAAATAAATCGAAAAATCACCATATTAGTTACGGAAATAGTATTATGTGTTTTTAATTTTTTTATTAGATTACCCTGAACATGGTTAAAAAACTATGTACTATCAAACTGAACCAAAGTTGGTGTTATCTTTGCATTTTTAGAATGCTAAAGAACGTAAATACATTCGAAATATTCGTTAAAACTGGATGAAAATTTGTCAAATTAGAATGAAATTGACATTATTTTCCCTTGATTTGCTCGATTTAACTCTTTTTTGAACCAGTGACTCACCTATTTTGCAAGATCCTCTCAAAACATGGCTAAAAGTAACAAAAATAAATTTAATTTTGAGTGATTTGTCAAAAAATAAACAGAAAAACATTAAAAAAATCGAAATATGTATTAGTTAACACTTCCACGCTTGTGAGCACGTTTTTGAACTATAATCTCGATTTTTTGATATTTTACTGAAATAAGCCAAAAAAGCGAAAAATCGAGTCATTATTTTTGCTTTTTTCGAGTGTTTTTACATGTTTTTTAGGTAAAAAAAAATATTTTGCAAAATTTCATAAAAACAAGCCAAAAAATAGACCATGATGATGTTATTTCTTCCTTTGTCGAGCGTTTTTAAGCAGATTTACAAGATTTATTTTAAAAAACGTAAATCTTCGAAAGTATTAGGAAAATTTAGATCATAATCATGTAATCTGCTGAAAATAGGTGTAAATCTGGCAACTTTTTCAACTCAGCGAATCTCAGGTGATGAGCTTTATTTATTTTTTTGGGGCTGGCAACACTGGTCCTGGTTATTTCAAGACGATAATAAAATATTTATTAGCTTTTTAGTGTTTCGTGTTATTAATTTTTCAAACGACTACAAATAATTGTCAAAAAATCAGTGTCACACTTATGTCAAATCTTGATGCAAACCCATAAAAATTCTGACAGGACGACCGGTACCTTCATTATTGCTTTTTTAGTGTTTTTGTTTGTTTTTTAGGTAATATTTTGCAAAATTTCGTAGAAACAAACTAAAAATTTGAAAATTTAGACCATAATGGTGCGTTTAGCACGTTTTTAAGCAGATTTAAAAACAAACTTTCGACAGTATTAGAAAAATTTAAATCATGATCATGTAATCTGCTGAAAATAGGTGTAAATCTGGCAACTTTTTCAGCAGATGATGAGATTTATTTTTTTTAGGCTGGCAACACTGGTCCAGGTTATTTCAAGACGATAATAAAATATTTATTAGTTTTTTAGTGTTTGGTTTTATTAATTTTTGCCAAATAATTGTCAAAAAATCATTGTCACACTTGTGTCAAATCTTGATGCAAACCCATAAAAATTCTGACAGGACAACCGGTACCTCTATTATTGCTTTTTTTTGTTTGTTTTTAGGGTAATATTTCGGAAAATTTCGTAGAAACAAACTAAAAATTGGAAAATTATACCATAATGGTGCGTTTAGCAAGTTTTTAAGCAGATTTACAAGATTTACATTAAAAACGTAAACTTTCTACAGTAATTCGACAGTATTAGAAAAATTTTAATCATAATCATGTAATTTGCTGAAAATAGGTGTAAACCTGGCAACTTTTTCAATCTCAGGTGATGAATTATTTCAAGACGATAATAAAATATTTATTAGTTTTTTAGTGTTTCGTTTCATTAATTTTTCAAACGACGACAAATAATTGTCAAAAAACCGTGTCACACTTATGTCAAATCTTGATGCAAAATTGCAAACCCACAAAAATTCTGACAGGACAACCGGTACCTCAATTACTGCTTTTTTAGTGTTTCTGTTTGTTTTTCAGGTAATATTTCGCAAAATTTCGTAGAAACAAGCTAAAAATTGGAAAATTTAGACCATAATGGTGCGTTTAGCACGTTTTTAAGCAGATTTACAAGATTTACATTAAAAACGTAAACTTTCTACAGTAATTCGACAGTATTAGAAAAATTTAAATCATGATCATGTAATCTGCTGAAAATAGGTGTAAATCTGGCAACTTTTTCAGCAAATGATGAGATTAATTTTTTTTAGGCTGGCAACACTGGTCCTGGTTATTAAACAATAATAAAATATTTATTAGTTTAGTGTTTCGTTTTATTAATTTTTGCCAAATAATTGTCAAAAAATCATTAGCACACTTATGTCAAATCTTGATGCAAATCCATAAAAATTCTGACAGGCCGACTGGTTCCTCTGCGTCTGCTCGGAACCATTCAATAAGATAAGAAACACAACAAAGTGCGATAAATTTCGCGCAGTCGCGTGCTGTGAGCAACGAGAGGCCGACTACAATCAGCTGTGAGCAACAACCGGGGTTCTAAAAATGTTCGCTCTCATTCCCCGGTCCCTAGTGTGAGTAACGAGTTTTATTTTACAGTTAAAACCATCCCCACATTCTTTTCCCTTTCGCTTCAGTCACCAAAATGCGTTTTCATGGCCGATTCCGCCCCAAAACCGCTCCAAGACCCATGCTTGCGCGGCCCTTGGATCGATATCAAAAGCGCGGTTTAGGCTTTCCATTTTTCTGTTGTTTATTTTCTTCAAATAACCCAAATCTTGGGTTTATCGCTGATAAAGACGCGAGGCGGACGCCCTCGATTATATCTCGCGTTTGGTGTCCTTCGATGTTGGTTTCAAGTCTAAATTTACATTTCGTATTTGCTTGCGGTGGACCCAGAGTTGAGATATTCAGGCGAATTTTCAGTTTTCAATAAGATAACCTTGACACTGCATTTTGTGAAATTACTGCCGGGTTGAGTTACACTTATCATTATCACTAATTATCTCATCCTGTTTGACGCGTAAACCGTAATAAGAACTTCTCAGTGTTCTGTTATAGAAACACTTTTTTACAAAATTAATGTTTCGCTTCAATTCGTTATGAAATCGTTTTGCGTGGAATGCAAAAACTTGCCAAAAATAATTATTTTTAAAATATACTTTAATTTTGTAAAATTACATAATAAGAATAACAATATAACAATTGTGCGTAGGCGAGCAAAACGCATGTACTATTTTCTCCGATTATTTTTTTACTACAAGTGGTTTTATCGTAAAATATACTTTTATTATTAAAATTGCTATTTCTACTAACTTGCTTTTATAAGAATTGTAAATATTTTTTAAGCTTTGTTTTTGAAATTTTGAAAAAAAAAATATACCAATCCTTAATTCTCGATCAAAATTCTACCTATATTTCTAATTTTTAATCAATCGTCGATAATTTATTTGATTTATTTTTATTTATTTTTTTAATTTAATTATTAATTAAATTATTATTAATTAATTTATTTAAGAGTTAGAACTTAAAGTTTCCTTTTTCCACTCAGCGATTTAATTTAGAACAACGAAAAGCTAATTTTTAAAAATTCAGGTTTTTTTTTCTGGTACGATTAGAAAAAACTACGAAAAACGGAAGTAATATTAAATAAAAAAAATACAAAAATGTTTTTTTTTCTTTGAAATAAAAAAGGAATGAGCCTTAGTTACAATAAGGCTAAAACAGCACTTTTATTAGCTGAAACTTGAAATTATAGACGGGGTGATTTCAAAAAATGAATCTTTAACGTCATTCGAAAATAATTTTAATTTCTAAAAAGTGAAATAATTTTCTTTTTCAATAATAATCTTAATTTCGAAAATAATACTCTTAAAAAAAAAAAAAAATTCAAGGAGTGATTCACCAATTTTTTTACAGCTGAAAATCCTTGTGACCAGCTTTCTTTTCTGCAAAAATCACTAAAATCGCTACACGTGATGACAGTTGAAAAAAAAAGTTTGTGAAAATTTAGAGAAAAGAAAAAAAATTCAATACATCTCTCCGATTAATTTTTTACTACACGTGGTTTTATCGTAAAATATGCCTTTATTATTAAAATTGCTATTTCTACTAACTTGCTTTTATAAGAATTGTAAATATTTTCTAAGCTTTGTTTTTGAAATTTTGAAAAAAAAATACTTTAGAAAATTAATTTAGAAGTACTTTAGAAGAAAACAGCACTTTTATTATCGATCAAACTTAAAATTATATACATGGCGATTTCAAACAAATGGATCTTTAACGTAATTCGAAAATAATTTTAATTAAAATTTCAATGTCAATAAAAAAACCACAAAGGTTTCCAAATTGAAATAATTATCTTTTTTAATAATAATAATTTTAATTTCGAAAATAATATTCTAATAAAATATTTTTATCTTTATATGATATTGATAAAGAATTATGAGAAAATTAAAAATAAGTGATCAGTTTACCAACTTTTTTACAGCCTATAGTCCTTGTGATCAGCTCTGTTTTCTGCAAAAATCATGCAAAAAAATTGTAAAAGTTTGGAGAAAAGAAAAAAATTCAATACGGCTCGAAGCACTATTTTTTTACAGTCGAAAGCCCTTTTGATAAGCTTTATTTTCTGTAAAACTGAAAGAAATAGCTACACAGGATGACACTTGAAAAAAATAAAGTTTGTTGGTAAAAAAAATTTAGAAAAAGAAAAATATTAATACGGCCCTGAGGAGTGATTTGATTGTTGGTTCAACCTTTTTTTACAGTTTAGAGCCTTTTTAACGAGCTTTGTTTTCTACCAAAAATACAATAAATTCCAACACGGGATGACACTTGAAAAAAATAAGTTTGTGTTGGTAAAAAATTTTGAATAAGAAAAAAAATTCAATACGACCATTGTCGGTTCAACATTTCTTAATTCAAAGTCTTTTTGATGAGATTATATGTCGTTTATATATGAATTAATTTTCTGACTTCAGCTAATTAGAAAATAACAAATTTTGTGTAATGATTTAATTAAATTAATAAGTTGTTTTCTATATTTGAAAAAATGTGTTATGTCATTTGAGACCAAATTTGTAATGGAAAAAAAACTTTAATTGTAACAATATCTTCTTTTACAATAAAACTGATAAGAATTCACGGTTATATTTAAATTTGATTAAAATTTCTCCGAATACAATAGTTTAAAATAGTCTCAAAATTGGCAATTAATAACATTTCCCCTAGTAACTTATATCTCAAGTATTATTTTTAAGTTACATTTATTGTAATTCAGAGAACCGAATTAACAACAATCTGAACAACAGTGCACAGATAAGGATACAAAACGGAAGGTCGAAATTTACATCAGTATCTGCTGACTAATTGAACAACTTATTTTTATTAATAATTTTACATAAAATTATAATTTCGAATAACATTCTTTAGAAAAAAATAAAAGTCACACCATTTTACAAGTCATCATGCAGGACCGAGATGTTTTTTTAACAAAATCCAACACAAATGTTCCATTTTGTCACAGTTTTTAATAACATTGACTAATTTCGCCCACATTAATAAACATATTGTGTGTTTCTAAACCATCATTTTTTTCGTAACTAATTCGAATATAATGATATTTGAAAAACAAGAATACAAGAAACTTTTCGATGTGAAAAAAAACGATGTCGTTCTCTCGAAGCTGTAATGAAATTTACTCCCAAAAGGGAATAAAGTGTCACTTTATTTCCTTGAGAATAAACTACATTAAATACCGATTTTTACTAATTAAGTGAATATTCTGACAAATTATTATAAATTATATTACTTTATTTTTTTCAAGTGTCATCCTGTGTAGCTATTTCTTTCATTTTTGCAGAAAATAAAGCTTATCAAAAAGGCTTTCGACTGTAAAAAATTAGTGAACTGAGAATCACTTATTGAATTTTTTTCTTTTCTCCAAATTTTCACACATTTTTTTTTCAAGTGTCATTCCGTTTTTGCATGATTTTTGCAGAAAATAAAGCTTATCAAAAAGGCTTTCGACTGTAAAAAATTAGTGAACTGAGAATCACTTATTGAATTTTTTCTTTTCTCCAAATTTTCACACATTTTTTTTTCAAGTGTCATTCCGTTTTTGCATGATTTTTGCAGAAAACAAAGCTGATCACAAGGACTTTTGGCTGTAAAAAAATTGTTGAACTGATTTTCTAAAATTTTTTTACCAACAAACTTTATTTTTTTCAAGTGTCATCCTGTGTAACTATTTCTTTCAGTTTTACAGAAAATAAAGCTTATCAAAAGGGCTTTCGACTATAAAAAAATAGTGCTTCGAGCCGTATTGAATTTTTTTCTTTTCTCCAAACTTTTACAATTTTTTTGCATGATTTTTGCAGAAAACAGAGCTGATCACAAGGACTATCGGCTGTAAAAAAGTTGGTGAACTGATCACTTATTTTTCATTTTCTCATAATTCTTTATCAATATCATATAAAGATAAAAATATTTTATTAGAATATTATTTTCGAAATTAAAATTATTATTATTATTAAAAAAGATAATTACTTCAATTTGGAAACCTTTGTGGTTTTTTTATTGACATTGAAATTTTAATTAAAATTATTTTCGAATTACGTTAAAGATCCATTTGTTTGAAATCGCCATGTATATAATTTTAAGTTTGATCGATAATAAAAGTGCTGTTTTCTTCTAAAGTACTTCTAAATTAATTTTCTAAAGTATTTTTTTTTCAAAATTTCAAAAACAAAGCTTAGAAAATATTTACAATTTTTACAAATTTTTTTTTGCATGATTTTTGCAGAAAACAAAGCTGATCACAAGGACTTTTGGCTGTAAAAAAGTTGGTGAACTGATCACTCATTTTTCATTTTCTCATAATTTTTTATCAATATCACATAAATATAAAAATATTTTATTAGAATATTATTTTCGAAATTAAAATTATTATTAAAAAGATAATTATTTCATTTTATTTCGTCCCAAAGGTTGTTTGACGTTTTTTTTGGCTCACCCGGTGTATAAAATGAGTTTATCTAAAAATATGAGTGCACCTTGTTTTGGGTTGGCTTTTTGCCACATTTCCATACGTAAAGGCCAACATTCTACCACTTCGTCAATTTCTAATATCAATTTTTACTGTTTTACTTATTTTTTTTCTAGTTTTCATTACCAATTAATTAGCATACTACAACAATTCAATTACTTGTTGTTGACATTTGATATAATTGCATTGTTCATTCCTTATCACTAATGTTGGCACTCGTGGAATTTTTTTTATTACATCGAGTAAAATGAAATCCCAATGTACTCTTAATTCACTGATAACAAAAATATTGTTGCATAAAATGTTATTTATCTACATTTAATCGGAAGGTCAACACATTTGTTAACATTATAGCACTTCCTCTTGTCAATGAGGAAATGAATGAGTTCCTGTCATGTTATTTCGATAATAATATTCTCATTTGTCATTATTTTCAGTACTAATGTGTCGTCACGATCATCGCTTAGTTTGTCAGGACAGAAAGCGACCATCCAAGAAGCTGTAAAATGGCTAAAAAGCAAAGACTACCACACTGTCTCAGGCGATACCATAACACCATCAAAAGTGATGGGTATCGACCATCTCCGCGACCCTCGTCTCAACAAGGTTCGTTTTTAAACAACCACAAGTTTAAATTTATCAAATTTGTATTTTTAGGGCTTGGCTTTCACTTTGGAAGAACGTCAAGCTTTGGGTATTCATGGTCTTCAACCTGCACGATTTAAAACCCAAGAAGAACAATTGGAATTATGTCGAATTTCAGTGATGCGATATCAGGAGAATCTCAACAAATATCTGTATATGACTGAATTGCATGATCGTAATGAAAAATTGTTTTTCCGTTTGTTATCCGAAAATATTGAAATGTTGATGCCGATTGTTTACACACCGACTGTTGGGTTAGCTTGTCAAAGATTTGGGTTGATTTATCGAAGACCTAGAGGACTCTTCATCACTATTAATGACAGAGGACATGTCTACGACGTTCTGAAAAATTGGTATGGGAGATTTATTTATAAAGAGTGAGACGCGGGTTATTTTCGGAACAATTCACACTCGCGCCAGAAAATTAACTAAAAAACACACACACGCATGCGCATTTTTCAATGATTTCCACTGGTAACCACAATTTTGACCAATTTTAACTTTCGTGTTTTGGCTATTAACACTGACCATTAGAGGGAGAAAGTAAATATTAGAAATTGCCGTTGTTGGACAAAGATAGAGATATGTAGTCACTTAATGTGTGACAAGAAAGCGCTCAAGTCTAACCTCAAAGCAATTATTTTAAATTTCTCGTTTATTTTAATCAAAATAAAAAGATCAAAATCACCAAAAAAATCAGAAAATATTTTTTACTATTTCGATGTCACAATGAGCAATTTTGTGACACTGTTTTTTGCCGAAATTTTGGTCTTTTTCAGTTAGAAACGGTAGTATTTTGCAAAACTTCGTTAAGAACAAAATCATCAAGTTGTTTCGCTCGATTTAACTCTTTTTTAAACCAAAGACTCACTTATTTTGCAAACCATTAGAGAGAGAAAGTAAATATTACAACTTGCCGTTCTTGAACAAAGATAGAGATATGTAGACACTTAATGTGTGACAAAAAAGCGCTCAAGTCAAACCTCAAAGCAATTATTCTAATTTCTTGTTTATTTTAATTTAGTTACGACCAAAATCACCAAAAAAATTAGGAAATATTTTTACTATTTCGATGTCACAATGAGCAATTTTGTGACACTGTTTTTTGCCGACATTTTATGCAATATTTTGGTCTCTTTCAGTCAAAAACAGAACTATTTTACAAAACTTCGTTGAGAACATCTCAAATTCATCAAATTGGTGTTATCTTTGCATTTTTATAGTGCTAAAGAACGTAAATACAAAGTTTTTCGTTAAAACTGACTGAAAATTTGTAAAATTAGATTGAAATTGGTATTATTTTAGGTTGTTTCGCTTACTTTAACTCTTTTTTGAATCAAAGACTCACTTATTTTGCAAACCATTAGAGAGAAAAAGTAAATATTACAAATTGCCGTTGTTGAACAAAGATAGAGATATGTAGTCACTTGATATGTGACAAGAATGCGCTCCAGTCTACCTCAAAGCAATTATTATTTAAATTTCTCGCTTACTTTAATCTAGATACGACCAAAATCACCAAAAAAGTTAGGAAATATTTTTTACTATTTCGATGTCACAATCAACAATTTTGTGACACTGTTTTTTGCCAACATTTTATGCAATATTTTGGTCTTTTTCAGTCAGAAACAGAACTATTTTGCAAAACTTCGTTAAGAACATCTAAAATTTATCAAATTGGTGTTATCTTTGCTTTTTTAGAGTGCTAAAGAACGTAAATACAAAGTTTTTCGTTAAAACTGACTAAAAATGTGTTAAATTAGATTGAAATGGATATTATTTTAGCTTGTTTTGCTCGATTTAACGCTTTTTTGAACCAAAGACTCACTTATTTTGCAAACCATTAGATAGAGAAAGTAAATATTACAAATTGCCGTTGTTGAAGAAAGATAGAGATATGTAGTCACTTGATGTGTGACAAGAAAGCGCTAAGTCTAACTTCAAAGCAATTATTTTAAATTTCCCGTTTATTTTAATCTAGATACGACCAAAATCACCAAAAAATTCAGGAGTAATTTTTTACTTTTTCGATGTCACAATGAGCAATTCTGTGACTCTGTTTTTCTGTCGACATTTTATGCAATATTTTGGTCAGAAACAGAACTATTTTGCAAAAGTTTTGCTCGATTTAACTCTTTTTTGAACCAAAGACTCACTTATTTTGCAAACCATTAGAGAGAGAAAGTAAATATTACAACTTGCCGTTGTTGGACAAAGATAGAGATATGTAGTCACTTGATGTGTGACAAGAAAGAGCTAAGTCTAACCTCAAAGCAATTATTCTGAATTTCTCGTTTTTTGTAATCTAGATACGACCAAATTCACCAAAAAAATTAGGAGTAATTTTTTACTCTTTCGATGTCACAATGAGCAATTCTGTGACACTGTTTTATGCAATATTTTGGTCTTTTTCAGTCAGAAACAGAACTATTTTGCAAAACTTTGTTAAAAACATCTAAAATTCATCAAATTGGTGTTATCTTTGCATTTTTAGAGTGCTAAAGAACGTAAATACAAAGTTTTTCGTTAAAACTGACTAAAAATTTGTTAAATTAGATTGAAATTGACTCACTTATTTTGCAAACCATTAGAGAGAGAAAGTAAATATTAGAAATTGCCGTTGTTGGACAAAGATAAAGATATGTAGTCACTTGATGTGTGACAAAAAAGCGCTCAAGTCTAACCTCAAAGCAATTATTTTAAATTTCTCGTTTATTTTAATCTAGATACGACCAAAATCACCAAAAAAATTAGGAAAAATTTTTTTCTATTTCGATGTCACAATGAGCAATTTTGTGACGCTGTTTTTTGCCGACATTTTATGCAATATTTTGGTCTTTTTCAGTCAGAAACAGAACTATTTTGCAAAACTTCGTTAAGAACATCTAATATGCATCAAGTTGGTGTTATTTTTGCATTTTTAGAGTGCTAAAGAACGTAAATACAAAGTTTTTCGTTAAAGCTGACTGAAAATTTGTTAATTTAGTTTGAAATTGGTATTATTTTAGGTTGTTTCTCTCAATTTAACCCTTTTTTAAACCAAAGACTCACTTATTTTGCAAACCATTAGAGAGAGAAAGTAAATATTTCAACTTGCCGTTGTTGAACAAAGATAGAGATATGTAGACACTTGATGTGTGACAAGAAAGCGCTTAAGTCTAACCTCAAAGCAATTATTTCAAATTTTGGATATATTTTTTACTATTTCGATGTCACATTGAGCAATTTTGTTTTTTGCCGAAATTTTATGCAATATTTTGATCTTTTTCACTCAGAAACAGAACTGTTTTACAAAACCTTGTTCAGAACATCTAAAATTCGTGAAATTGGTGTTAACTTTACATTTTTAGAGTGCTAAAGAACGTAAATACAAAGTTTTTCGTTAAAATTGACTGAAAATTTGTTAAATTAGATTGAAAATGGTTTTATTTTAGGTTGTTTCGCTCGATTTAACTTTTTTTTGAACCAAAGACTCGTTTTGCAAGCCATTAGAGAGAAAAAGTAAATATTACAAATTTCCGTTGTTGAACAAAGATAGAGACATGTAGTCACTTGATGTGTGACAAGAAAGCGCTCAAGTCTAACCTCAAAGCAATTATTTTAAATTTCTCGTTTATTTTAATCTAGATACGACCAAAATCACCAAAAAATTTAAAAAATATTTTTTACTATTGCGATGTCACAATGAGCAATTTTGTGACACTGTTTTTTGGCGACATTTTATGCAATATTTTGGCCTTTTTCAGTCAGAAACTGAACTACTTTACAAAACTTCGTTAAGAACATCTAAAATTCATGAAATTGGTATTATTTTTGCATTTTTAGAGTGCTAAAGCACGTAAATACAAAGTTTTTCGTTAAAACTGACTGAAAATTTGTTAAATTAGATTGAAATTGATATTATTTTAGCTTGTTTCGCTCGATTTAACTCTTTTTTGAACCAAAGACTCACTTATTTTCCAAACCATTAGGGAGTAAGAGTAAATATTACAAATTACAAATACTTTGGCCATACTGTCGTTTTTAAGTAAAAAATTGTTGTAGTTCAACGTATTTCACCGAAACTAATGCAATTAAGCTATTTTCGAACAATTTGGGTACCGCACACGTCAAATGTCAAATATAATAATAAATTGAATTTAAAAAGAGCTCAATAGAAAAAAAAGAGTATAAACAACGCGTGTTATACCCTCTAATTCAACAATTGTTTTTTAATATACAATTGTTCCGTTAATTTTTTGGAATAGTGTACAATAGACAATTTAACATTTTTTTTTTGTCTAAATTTGCCCTTTTTAGGCCAGAATCAGACGTCAAAGCGATCGTCGTGACCGACGGTGAGCGTATTTTGGGTTTGGGCGATTTGGGGGCGTGTGGTATGGGCATTCCCGTGGGAAAATTGGCCCTATACACCGCCCTAGCCGGCATCAAGCCCCATCAATGTCTTCCAATCGTCCTCGATGTTGGAACCAACAACCAAGTATAAAACACCTTAACTAATAATTTGCAAACACGACCAATAATCACGATGCTATAATTGTAGACTCTTTTGGAAGACCCTCTCTATGTAGGTCTACGCCAACCTAGACTCTCCGGTCCTGAATACGACTCCTTCGTCGATGAGTTCATGGAAGCGGCTGTGACACGTTATGGTCAAAACGTCCTAATCCAATTCGAAGATTTTGGCAATCACAATGCTTTCCGTTATTTGGACAAATATCGTGGTGTTTATTGCACCTTCAACGACGACATTCAGGGTACTGCAGGTGTTGCCGTTTCCGGTCTTTTGGCATCTGCAAGAGTCACTGGAAAGAAAATCTCCGAAAATAAATTTCTGTTTTTGGGAGCTGGTGAAGCAGCGATCGGTATTGCAGATTTGTGTGTGAAAGCAATGCAAGTGGAAGGATTGTCATTGGAAGATGCTAGAGGGAAAATCTGGATGATGGATATTGATGGTTTATTGGCTAAAGGACGACCGGAAGGAAAACTGGATGGTCACAAAGCCTACTATGCTAAAGAACATAAACCAGTCAAGGATTTGGCTTCCGTCGTGAATGAAGTCAAACCGTCGGTGTTAATTGGGGCTTCAGCCGCTAGTGGTGCTTTCACGCCTGAAATTTTGAAAAGTATGGCGTCGTTTAATGATAAACCGATCATTTTTGCATTGAGTAATCCGACGGATAGGGCGGAGTGCACGGCAGAGCAGGCCTACACCAACACTGATGTATGTATCTTGTTTCAGGTGTCGGGTGATTTTATATAATATTTTTTTACTACCTGCGTATTTTATTACCTAGAATGGCAACGTTGCTTCACGATAATTTTTTTGAGATTATGTCATTTTTTACTTCTATCCAGTAAATATGAATGTTAAAATAACATAGAAACTGTAAAGAAAATGGAAAAAATGTCAAATTTGTCTTACTACCGGTAGTATTTCAACACAAAATAGGCATATTTGTTGTTTCAACAGTTGTGACAAAGCAGACGGAAGTGTTGCCAGAACAAAAACACTTCACCAGATCCAGTTAAAAAAATTGCCAAATTTTCGAGAAAAACCGCAGTTTTCAACTTAAAAATCTTAAACTCTTGAAAAAAGCAAAAATGACATGCTTTTCGACCTAATTCTGTGATTTTTCGACTTGTTTTCAACAAAAATAATGTCATTCTGAACTTAATTTCTTAACTATTTTGTTTGTTTTAGCGAATTCTAGCGAAAAAAACTGAGATTATTAGTACAAAAACGTGCTTAAAAGCATTTTCGGCAAAAAATTTTGGTTTCTCGGCTTATTTTTGCTCAACACCAGTTAGATCGAGTGTAACAAATAAAATAACATCAATATAAATTGTTTTTGTGATTTTTAAGCTTGTTTTGGACAAGGTTATGATTTGTATGGCAAAATCTCGCGAAACGCAATTATCAGCATAAAAATCTGTTTAAACTCTTGAAAAAAAACATAAATAACATGCTTTTCGACCTAATTCTGTAATTTTTTGGCTTGTTTTCAACAAAATTTTGCGAAATAATTGCGTTTCTAGCTGTAAAACGTGCTAAAACGCTCAAGAAATGCAATTCTAGACTTAATTTCTTAATTATTTCGTTTGTTTTAGCGAATTCAAGCGATAAACCTGAGATTTTAGTACAAAAACGTGCTTAAAAGCATTTTCGGCAAAATTTTGTGGTTTTTCAGCTTATTTTTGCTCAACACCAGTTAAATCGAGTGAAACAAACAAAATAACATAAATGTCAATTGTTTTTGTGAATTTTTGGCTTGTTTTTAACAAAATTTTGCGAAATAATTGCGTTTGTAGCTGAAAAACGTGCTAAAACGCTCAAGAAATGCAAAAATAATGTAATTCTAGACTTAATTTCCTAATTATTTTGTTTGTTTTAGCGAATTCTAGCGAAAAACCTGAGATCTTAGTACAAAAACGTGCTTAAAAGCATTTTCGGCATAATTTTGTGGTTTCTCAGCTTATTTTTGCTCAACACCAGTTAAATCGAGTGAAACAAACAAAATTACATCAATATCAATTGTTGTTGTGATTTTTAAGCGTGTTTTGGACAAGATTACGATTTGTATGGCAAAATTTTGCAAAAACCGCAATTTTTAGCTTAAAAATCTGCTTAAACTCTTGAAAAAAAGCAAAAATGACATGCTTTTTAGTCTAATTCTGTGATTTTTTCGAAATAATTGCGTTTCTAGCTGAAAAACGTGCTAAAACGCTCAAGAAATGCAAAAATAATGTAATTCTAGACTTAATTTCTTAATTATTTCGTTTGTTTTAGCGAATTTTACACTAGTTAAATCTAGTGAAACAAACAAAATAACATAAATATCAATTCTTTTTGTGATTTTTAAGCGTGTTTGGACAAGATGGCGATTGGTATGGCAAAAACTCGCGAAAAAAACGCAATTTTCAGCTTAATCCTTAAACTCTTGAAACAAGGCAAAAATGACATGCTTTTCGGCTCAATTCCGCTTGTTTTCAACATAATTTTGCGAAATAATCTCGTTTCTAGCTGAAAAACGTTCTAAAACGCTCAAGAAATGCAAAAATAATGTATTTCTAGACTTAATTTTTTAATTATTTCGTTTGATTTAGCGAATTCTAGTGAAAAACCTGAGATTTTAGTACAAAAACGTGCTTTAAGGGATTTTCGGCAAAGTTTTGTGTTTTCCGGCTTATTTTTGCTCAAAACCAGTTAAATCGAAAGAAACAAACAAAATAACATAAATGTCAATTGTTTTTGTGATTTTTAAGCGTGTTTAGACAAGATTACGATTTGTTTGACAAAATCTCGCGAAATCTCGCAGTTATCAGGTTAAAAATCTACTTAAACTCTTGAAAAAANAAAATTTTGCGAAATAATTGCGTTTTCATCTAAAAAACGTGCTAAAACGCTTAAGAAATGCAAAAATAATGTAATTCTAGACTTAATTTCTTAATTATTTTGTTTGTTTTACCGAATTCTAGCGAAAAACCTGAGATTTTAGTACAAAAACGTGCTTAAAAGCATTTTCGGCATAATTTTGTGGTTTCTCAGCCTATTTTTGCTCAACACCAGTTAAATCGAGTGAAACAAACAAAATTACATCAATATCAATTGTTCTTGTGATTTTTAAGCGTGTTTTGGACAGGATTACGATTTGTATGGCAAAATCTCGCGAAAAACGCAATTTTTAGCTTAAAAATCTGCTTAAACTCTTGAAAAAAAGCCAAAATGACATGCTTTTTATCCTAATTCTGTGATTTTTTTGGCTTGCTTTCAACAAAATTTTGCGAAATAATTGCGTTTCCAGCTGAAAAACGTGCTAAAACGCTCAAGAAATGCAAAAATAATGTAATTCTAGACTTAATTTCTTAATTATTTCGTTTGTTTTAGCGAATTCTAGCGAAAAACCTGAGATTTTAGTACAAAAACGTGCTTAAAAGCATTTTCGGCATAATTTTATGGTTTCGCAGCTTATTTTTGCTCAACACTAGTTAAATCGAGTGAAACAAACAAAATAACAATTCTTTTTGTGATTTTTAAGCGTGTTTGGACAAGATGGCGATTGGTATGGCAAAAACTCGCGAAAAAACGCAATTTTCAGCTTAATCCTTAAACTCTTGAAAAAAGGCAAAAATGACATGCTTTTCGGCTCAATTCGGCTTGTTTTCAACATAATTTTGCGAAATAATCTCGTTTCTAGCTGAAAAACGTTCTAAAACGCTCAAGAAATACAAAAATAATGTAATTCTAGACTTAATTTTTTAATTATTTCGTTTGTTTTAGCGAATTCTAGCGAAAAACCTGAGATTTTAGTACAAAAACGTGCTTAAAAGCATTTTCGGCAAAATTTTGTTGTTTCTCGGCTTATTTTTGGTCAAAATCAGTTAAATCGAGTGAAACAAACAAAATAATATTAAATTCGATTTAATTTTGTAATTTTTTTGCCTGCTTCAACGAAATTTTTAGAATTCTTTCTGTTTTTATCTCAAAAACGTGCTTAAACACTTGAAAAAGACAAAAACAACGCCATTTTTGCTGGAATTTGTTGAATTTTTGGATTGTTTCTAATGAAATTTTGCGATATAATTGTGTTTCTAGCTGAAAAAGTAAAAATAAATTGCAATTTTTGATCTTGTCTAGTAAAATCTTGTAAAAAAAACAAACAGAATTATTTTAAATAATTCCGTGGTTTTCCAACTTTTTTGAAAAAACTAGACGAAATAATCAAATTTCTGGTTGAAAACGTGGAGAATGCTCGAAAAAAATCACCAGACTAACATGAACGTCACCAGATCTGGTGAAATTTCACCATACCTGGCAACACTGCAGAAGGATGCTGTAGAGGTGGGATTATGGTGTTTTTAAGGAAGAAGATCAAGTCTTTTATTTAATTTTGCATTAATTTTATCTCGAAAAATTAAAAATATATATTTGTATCACTGTAATACTCTCCAATATCGGTATTTACCACCTGTACCTATTATTGCTCTTGGTTAATAATAAAAACTCGGCAAACTAAATAATGGTACTTTTTACAACTAGTAGTGAAAAACTTTTTATAGGGTCGCTGCATCTTCTCAAGTGGTTCTCCCTTCCCTCCAGTCACCTACAAAGGCACCACTTTTTATCCCGGGCAAGGCAACAACGCCTACATTTTCCCAGGCGTTGCTTTGGGAGTAATCCTAGCCAGGATTCACCACATTAAAGAAGAATTGTTCTTGTTGGCGGCTCAAGCAGTCGCTGATCACGTCAGCGACTCCGATATACAAAAGGGTAGTTTATATCCACCCCTTAGTAGCATTAGAGAATGTTCTGTTGATATTGCTACGAGAATTTTGAATTATTCCTACGAAAAAGGTAAATTTTGGATGTGATTAATTGAATGTTTTGAGTGTTTTTGTAGGAATTGCAACCGTTTATCCGGAACCAAAGGATAAAAAGGCATATGTGATGCAACATCAGTATAATTATAATTACGAATCAGCGTTGCCTCCGACATGGTCGTGGCCTAATCAACAGGAAATTAAAACAAGGCCCATCGAACCAACAAAATTGATGGCTTAGAATTAGAAAAGACATCCATTTCTTAGATAATACTTTTCCATTGGTATTTTTAAATTGGACGTATTTTAACATAATTTATTGTTGAATGTTACAACCTAAGCAAAGTTTTGATCACCATGTTTGAGTGGGCGCTACTAAATAGTGCCATTTTGTACTTAATTTTATTTAGTATTCATTTAATCACAACAGCTTTTTTGTATTTGCTGATCTACGAGCAATATTGTACGTTTTAAACAGTATTTCTTTCTGGTCATTAAAATGTAGAACGCTAGGGATATAAGACCACCTGTAATAAAAAGAAAATAAATGTTATTGTACTGTTATTGAATTTTTATAATATGGTGTTCGCTATAAACTGTATTTTATCCGAAAACGCCACAAAAGTGGCCACTTTTATGACTAAATGCACTACCAACTGCACTAGTTAAAGTAATAATCACTTGAAAATTGCGTTCTGAATATTTTGTTCATTTGCTTGTGAATTATAGTGTGTGATCTGTAAGGCTCGGATTATATGCAAAATGCATATTTGTTATTAAGAGGTATATCAACAAAATTGTAAGTTTTCTATGCATATCTGATGTTTTTTGATTAAAATAAGCCAAATAAAAAATGTATATTTTGCATATTTTGGCAACTTGGTGCATATTTTAGGAAATATTGCATATTTGTGCATATTTTCTTCAAATCACTAATTTCCGATTAAAAATTTCAGTTCAAGTTAAAAATTGGACAGTTTATGAGAAATGATCCAATTACAAAATATTTTAAAGAGAAAACAACCGGTAATTCCGGTAAATTGTATTGAACCAAGCGGTTTTTTTTAATCATTTGTTTCCAAAAAATAATAATTAATATAAATTAAAGTAATATAAAAATGATCTTATTTTATGAACAAAATTTTCTTTTGTTTATGAGTTATTCGATTTTTGCTGTCTAAATTACGACATATATAAAAAAATTATTTATTACAAAGTAGATAGTTGTAATCCTTTAGATCATAACCTTCATGAAAAAAATGTTTTTTTTGGGGGGTTCCCATTTAAAAAAAAATAATTTTGTAAAACTCAAAAACAAAATAAAAATTTCGAAAAATTTAATTTTTGATGAAACATCACATTTTTATAGAACTTTATAATTCATCAATTAGTTTTTTCAAAAAATAAATACGTTTGACTTTTTATTGTTCAAAATTTTGCATATAGTGCATATTTTTGTGAAAATACGTGCATATATATACACATATTTTACGATTTTTTCGTGCATATAATCCGAGTCTTAGTGATCTGAATACGTTTACGGATACAATAGTGGTGTAAAAGTGAGTTTTTGTACCTCAGCTGAATTATTTGCCTCACTACGTTCGCTTCGCCAAACCACTTTTACTCCTAATGACATAATATACTATTACCGAACGTTTTTGCTTTGCATTTTTCAAATAATTCAAATCACTTTCTGGTGATAAATCAGCAATTATTGCTTTGTAATGTAGAGAAGGACGAACATGAAAAAATAATTCCGTGTTCAAGGTAAAATAATCGGCTTAACGATCGGCCAGTCTCAATTAATAAAAACATATCTTTTTATAACCAGAAACAAATAAAATATGGATTGATGAACAAAAACAGCAGTTATACTCAAGCTTGGTGCGCGAACATAGTCTGAGTGAAAAGCCCAACTTTTTATTTGGTAATTGTGTTCTTCACTAATCAGATTTGCTCTGTTAATTGCTTTATAATCGAGTTAATTAGGAGAAATTTGTTACCTGGGTGCTATGTCATTGAAATCTAATCCATTATTTTATTCAGTTTCTATATTTGCGCAATAACTCAAAGATGGGAAACGCGGCGTGTATATCGGCACTGTGTGGTGAAAACGACCCAACTGGCAAAAAAAGGTAATTTTTTAATCCAACAAAACAATAATTTTTCTCAAAATTAGTTCGGCAAAAAAGCAATCGATTCTTTTTGTGCGATTAATAATTTACACTTTCCAATCAATTTCTGAAGACAAGACAGGAAAAAACATGCATTGTGATAATAAAAAGTCTATCACACAAAGTAATTGAAATATTAATAATTATAAAAAATCTCGGGAAATAATTACAGGAAAACACGTGTGAGGCATTTTTTGATTAGTATCGATTGATATTATTGATACTAAGTACTTAGTAGTGTTTGCAGACGCGTTGCTAAGAGTTGCAAGCTATTTCTATAAAGTAAAATTTTCATTACACAATTACTGAATGGCTGAAATATTTTATTTCAAATTAATTTTGTCAGTTTCACACGCAATTTGTTAAAAACTCCAATGGCACTTTGCACATTACGTTACTACTTTTAAATAATTTAAAACTGTTTACTATAAATTTTTCATCGTTTTGGTTGCTCTTTATTTCATGACAGATTTACGTAAATGTAAAAATAAAAAAGTAGAAACCAAATATTTAAAAAATATAGTATACAGGGCTGCGCCAGAATTCGCGTCTCAGAGAAAATTTTCAAGTAAAGTAAGATACCAGGAACATGAAAAATGTTTAAAAAATTCTATCTGTCAAAAAACTTTGACTTTTATTTTTTGACATTTGACATTTTTTTATATCTATTTAATGATACTGATGATCTTGTATATGTTTTTTTACAATTATTTAGTAAAGGGACAAAAATTTTGCCAATAAAAGTCACAAATAATATTGAACAAAGTTACAATTTATAATACAGCTTTCTTGTTTCCTGTTCTAATAGCTTGTAGCAAAAAAACTTGTAAAATTATTTTTCCAACAGAAATAAATAGAGTCAAAGTGCCAAATTTAAACTCTCATAACTTCGAAACTTTTATAGATAATTTTTTTTTCAACATTTTTTCCATATTCCTGGTATCTTACCTTATATGGCATTTTTCTCTGGGGCGCGAGTTCTGGCGCACCCTGTATAAATGCACATCTAAGAGAAAACTTTATACAGGCTGTTCCGGCTAAACCCCACATTAGAAGTATTGGGAGTTCTAACAATTCCTATACTTAAGTTTAATGTTTTCGAAATATTTAGACCTTTTAAAAAATTTGGATTTGAATCTTCCTATTCAAAAATCGATAATTTCAAATACCCTTAACTCAGTTTTTCTAAATGAAACACCCCATTTTTTTCTTCAATAAATGGAGGAGAATTTAGTTCTGCTTCGATCTGTATTAACATTCCCTATATGATAGTTTTCAAGTTATAGTAACTTTTTTTGATATTGTGAAAAATTCATTAGCATAGCTACTTTCGCACAGGTTGTCAGGAATAAGAAAAAAATAGAATAACAAAGTTATTCAAGTTAGGTTAAATAAATTTAATTTGTTTTTACGAAAAGAATAACACTATTGGGAAAAAAACTTGGCATTTTTTCAGTGAAAAATATTTACATGGCAAACTATGCAAAAACCATGGATAGTAATGAATTTCTTCCATTGTAAAAAAAAGTCAAAATAACTTGGAAATTGAAGTTTCCCAAACGTAACCTTAAATTATGGAGGTTTGTTAATTATTTTTCCAATTATAAATACACGAAAGAAAAGATCTAACCTTTCTTTTTCATATGCCCATACACCATTTGAAAATAATTAAAAATGGTAAAGTTATCGATTTTTGAAGAGGAAAATACAAATTAAAAAAATTTCAAAAAAGTATAAATATTTCAAAAACGCTTAAATTTAGGTATAGGGAACTCTAATAAAAACTCTTTCAAAATTAGTTGAGTAATCCAAAAA